CACTGTTAAACTATGCACTTAAAAATGGCTAAAATGGTGCCTTTTTTTTTTTTTTTTTTTTTTTTTTTTTTTTTTTTTTTTTTTTTTTTTTTTTTTTTTTTTTTTTTTTTGCAGTATAGGATTGAACCTGGGGTCTTCACGCTGAGTTATACCCTTTTCCCTGCTTTCTATGTTATGTTTTGAGACTGGGTCTCGCCAAATTGCTAAATTGCCCACTCTGGGCTAGAACTTGGAATCGTCCTGCCTCAGCCTCCCAGAGTACTGTCATTACAGGCCAGCTGAGCATGGTACGCTCTGTGTTGTGCTTGTTTTACCACGGTTAAGTGCCAAAGTGGTGGCTGTCGCCTGGCTCCGGTCATGTGGGGGAGATGCTGCCATCCCGGTAGGGTCTGCCGTTTGCTCTGCTTTGGAACCTGGAAGTCAGGAGTGCTTGTTGACTGAGCGTGGAGGGGTGGGGGCCCTGGGATACTCTTGTCAGCGTCCGCAGTGCCAGCCTCCCTGTAAGCCCTGCAGGGTGCCTGTCCCCTCTCCCAGGCTGGTAGCGGAAGTGAGTCTCACAACTCCAGGCCTGGTGCTGCCCCCATGGTGAGGAGCCCATTTCCCTGCGGAACGGTGGACCTTGCAGAACCTCCCACCTTGCCATGCGCCTCTGGCAGCTTTTTCAGCACCGTCCTCTCACTGTGTAAATCTTCATGTGAGATTCACATCCCCCAACTTCAGGGCTGTAAATCACTTCTCAGCCGCAGCCTGCGTGAGTCAGGGCAGCGGGTGCTGGGGGCCAGAACCTTCCGGACCAGTCACGTCCCGAGCAGGAAGGAGCGAGCAACACCGCAGCTTCGGTGTTAGGGGAGGGGAAGATCCTGGGACGTGGGACCCCGAGAAGGCATGGGTCCTGAGCATCTGTCCGAGCTGTGGGCCGCAGAGTGGACCTCAGCTGCTCCTGCAGGTTGCGTGGCCCCGTCCCGTGAGGGGCCCCGGTCCCCATCCAAAGGCTCCGTCCTCAGCCCCAGCAGAAGTGACAGGACCGCTGGACAGAGCATTGGCTCCTGATGCTGGACTCGCGGTTCTGTCCTGGAAAGCCTCCCTCTGCTCGTAAAATGCTCCTTCCTGTCTCCCAGCTCAGTGACATTTTGGGGTTAGGAAGAGGACACAGTCTGGACAGCCAAGCAGCCTTTTTGGGGAAAGCCATCACACTTTGTAAACTCGCCTCTTGGCTCCGGGCCGTGGAGGCGGCTGTAGAGGGAGGGAGTTTGCACTGCTCGGCGGGCAGGGCCTGGCCTGGGGGTAGCTCTCCTGTGCTGCGGGTGTGGGACGGCTCCGCAGGAGTCTGTTGTGAGGCTGTCCCTAAGCTAGCGTTACTGCAGAGGCCTTGAGCGGCCAGTGACCCGGGCCACAGAACACTGTCCTGTCCCTTTCGCCTGAGCCGCCACCGCTGGGCCATGGTGCCCTCCTGTCCCCGGCCCTGCCTCCCCTCATGGTCTCAGAGCTCTGCCTCTTCCCTGCGGCCCCCAGGTGCCCCTCCTGGGCCTTGCTGGTCCTTCTCAGTGTACACGCATTTTTCCAGCACCACTTTTTTGTTGTTCATTTGTTTTTTCAAGATAAGAGTCTCACTAGGTAGTTCCAGCTGACCTCAGAACCCACTAAGTTGCCCAAGTTAGCCCTGAACTCAAGATCTTCCTGCTTCGGCCTCCCAAGTAGCTGGGATTAGAGGTGTGTGCCACTGCGTTCACTCGTCCTGTGCTTCTTACTTCCGGTGGTCCTGTCCTCCAGCCCCAGATGCTGTCCCTTGTCTTAGGCCTTCCTCTGCTGTCCCCTCCGCCTGCTGTGCCCTCGCTCTGACGTTCTGGGCTGTTCGGCTCCCTTCTCCTGGGTCCATCCCACACCTTGCCGGTGAAGGAGTCCCACCTGCACCGTCATCGAAGTCCAGGGGAGTGGACCTGCCTTTAGGGGCTGTGTCCTCTTTGGCCCTGTAGCTGTTTCCGCCGAATTCTTGACATGGAGGCCGCCAGGTGGTAACCAGAGCCAAGAGCACACACATCTCCGACAGCGCTTCTGCACCAAGGCAGAAAGAAGTTCGTCCCCGCACGTTTGGGAAGCCTCGGGGTCCCCCTGGAAAGCACCGATACCGTCCAAAAACAGCCTCTCTTTAAGCGTGCGACAGAGCCCATCACAGCAGTGCAAAGGGCAGCACCCCAGCTAATTAGCTCGGACGGGACTTGTTTGAAGGTGCTCAGCTCAGCTCGGCTCAGCCTGCAGACCCGGGGAGCAGCCACCCGAGCTTCAGGACAGGACGAAGCCAGCGGGCAGCTTGCCTCCATTCCACCCCACCCAACCAGCCGGACTGCTCCCTCAGAGCTGCCCAGGGTGCCGGCTGACCTTCCCAGACTGAGGCAGAGGAAACCGACAGGAATTCTTTCCCACCAGCTGCCAGTGAAAAGAAAAGAGGCCCCGCATCTGCTTGCTCCCAGGCGTTGTTCCCTCCCCTCCCTGAACCTGGGAGAGGGTCTTATGGAGCAAGACAGCGGCCTTCTGGGGACCCCACGGGTGACCCGGGAGAGTTCCCATAGGGATCTCCAGGAAAATAGTCTTTTACATCTACTTTCTCACATTTTTAAGAATTCATTATGTTCATTTATCTGTGTTCACTGGTAGGTCACACATGTTGGGGTCCATACCCCTAATTTTTAGGGTGTTTGAGTTCCCTTTCAGCTGTGCTGCCCTTTGAGTCTACACAGCAAGCTGCCAGTGGAGTTGGTTATTTTGGACCCCTCGTTCTGAGGACTCTTAATTTGGTGAGGGGTTACCTGAACATCTCTTGTAAATTCAGGTGGGAAGAGACCCGGAAGCTGAGGGGAGGAGAGATGCTCCTGGTGGTGCTGGGGATGGGTGTGACTGTGGTCAGGACCGGTCTTCCCCGGGGTGTCATGAGAGCATGCAGAGGTTGGCAGCTGCCTACTCTTCCTTTGTTGGCACTGCTGGCCCAGAACTTCTGTTCCCAGGGCCAGCTTGGGAGCAATGGCTGCAGCCTTTTATGAAAGAAGGGCACTGGAGCTGGCCTTGGAGACATCAGAGAGCAGCTGCTGTCGGATAGTGTTTTCCATTATAAAGGGGAAGCCTGGGGGAGATGAGATTTGAAATTGGGTTTGGATTTCGAATTAATCTCCCTCTCCCTCTCTCTCTCTCTCTCTCTGTCCTGTGGGGATGAACTCCTGTGATAATTCATAGGGACATTTTTCCAGAACAGTCAATGGTAAAGGCTTCAGGAAGGACAGAATGACATGGCCCATGCCTCTCCTGGTCTTCAAATCATAATTGAAGGAAACTCAGTCATTCCAGAGAACCCACAGATTTTGCAGGAAATTTAATTGGCCACTCTATCTACTTACTTTAAAAAGAAACTTGATCATCCCGATAACTGTGTCGACAAGTAAGATACAGTGTATCTTAGACATTAGGAAGTTGTGTAGCACTGTTCCAACACACTTTATATTTGTGATTATGTAGATCAGTGTCTTTGTGCCCCCCCAACCTTGGGGTCACTTCCCAAGATCTGTCAGTTCCCAGTGCCCTTCCTTTATATCAGTTGCCACAAAAGCCACCCCCACCCCGCCTTTTGCCCTCTTGGTCAATGAGAATAAGGGTCTGTTGGTGCTTTGTGCCCTTCTGTTCCACACAGGCTGCCCGTCCCAGGAGAGATGTGCTGGGGTAGGTGAGGGGAGTGCTATCCTCAGGAGGCTCTGGGTGCTTGGTGCAGTGGCCCAGGTTCCAGCAGCAGCGCCCTGAAGGTCTCTCCCATCTCTCCAAGGGCCGCCTTATCCTGAGCCTGGCTGGAGCCCCTGCCTAGGGGAGTCCATCAGCCCTTCCGCCTAGAGGGGAACAAATCTCCTGCCAGGCCCCATTACTAAGGGTCATAGTCGATCTTTTTACCTTTGTACCAGGGATCGAACTCAGGACCTTGTACTCTACCCCGGCTGCTCAATCTGTATAAATGGAACTTGGTAGGGAGGGTCTGGGGTTCCAGTAGTGTGAGCCCCTTCCCGTCATGGCATTTTGGTCCCGCTGACCTTGGAACAGCGGCAGGCCAAGGGCTTCCAGTGCACATTTCTGCAGTGGAAGTGAGCTGGTCACATTTCTCCTTTGCTTCTCTGGCTGTGTGCTGCCTTTAGAAATACTGGGGAGTGCAACACTTCAAAGCATGGGCTTCCAGACTGTGCCCAGAGCTGTGGATCCCCCTGGCTCAAGGGGGCCTAAGGGCAGCGTGGTGTGAGGTCCCACTGCGCACTCCTCGGCTCCTTGGAGTTCACTCTGCACTTCGGTGGCTTGAAATCCGCCAAGATGGCAGCATTACACTGTGGAAATTGGCCAACACTGCAGATCAAGCCCTAGAGATGGGTTATGGATCATTCACCAGTCCGCGCTGGGTCAGAGCATCTGTGTCTCTTAAATGTGTCCACAGTAATCCTTGGGTGCAGCCGGGGTTGAGAAGGGGTAGCCTGAGATGTCCCAGGATGGGCCCAGCGAGGTCCACGTTACCGACAGTAGCTAACTGTTGTCCAGCCCTCACGTGTGATCAGTTGTTCATATGACTTAGGTCACCCCTCCACACACACACACAACATCCCGTCAAGGCACAGTTTTATCCCTTTTTGGATGGAGAAATTGAGGTTCAATGGGTTGCCTCTGCCTCGTCCAGGGCCACAGCTCGGCAGCAGGTAAGGCTGGACCCCAGTCGAGGACTGAGCTGCCAGGACCTGAGTCTGGCCCGTGCCTCTTGGGTGGCCGTGGTCCATGCCCTGCTGGCCCGGCAGGTTGCATGGGGAGTCGTGCTCTCGTTGTTCAGATGTCCGTGAGTCCCAGGCTGGGACCTTCCAGGCGCTGTGCTCCTGTGGGCCGGACAGTTGTCACGGGGTGGCAGTGGGCATGTCTCTACCCTCTGGGCCAGGAGAGAAACCCAGGGACTAATGGGCTTTTGCACTGGCCTGTGCTTTCTTCCCTTCCAGTGGAACATGACAAAGAGTTCTTCCATCCACGCTACCACCATCGGGAGTTCCGGTTTGATTTATCCAAGATCCCGGAAGGGGAGGCTGTGACTGCAGCCGAATTCCGGATCTACAAGGACTACATCCGGGAACGCTTTGACAACGAGACCTTCCGGATCAGCGTCTACCAGGTGCTCCAGGAGCACTTGGGCAGGTGGGTGTTATGTCAGTGCTGGGGTGGGTGCTGAGCTTCCTTTGGCTGCAGAGCAGGAAGGGGGTGATGGCCCCTGGCTGCAGTCACACCGGACAGGGACGATCAGGGCAGCTGCTTTCATGGAACACTGACCACCTACAGGCCCTGGATGAGACATCTTTGTAGAACAAAATATGTCATGTGTGTCACTGTCCAGCAATCTGGGCAGGAATCACTGGAGGCCAGGAAGCCTGGGGTTTGTGGCCCTGTTTGGGTATCAGCAGGCAGGTCTTCCTCTGGCTGTGCACTCAGGAGTGCAGAAGAGAGGGAAGAGAATGCGTGTGTGGGTCATCTCCACCTCCTGTTCATCACCCTGAAGCTCCATGTGGTGTCAGGTAACCAGTGTACGTGGCCAGGGCTAAGAAAATGTTAGGGAGAAAAAAACAGACCGACAGACCAACCAAAAACAAGAACTCTCAGCCTTCTAAGAATCACTAGGCTGGGAACCAAAAGCCTGTACTGAAAGACTTGAGTTTCTGGGGATCCTTTAATTTCAAGGCCTCATGAGAGGCAAGAAGACTCAGGAAAAGGACAGGCACATCTGTCACTGTCCTGAGGTGCAGACCCTGCGGTCCTGTTGCTCCATGGCTAGGCGTTGGGACCCCGAGTGCGGGCTGTGGACCTTTCCTGACCTCCTGCCCATGTGGCGTGACACTGGTTATGGAAGTAGTGTGGGGTGGGCACTTCGTTCCGATGGTCCGTCCTCACTTGTTAGCTAGGATGGGGACTTGTCACCCCCACAGGGACAGGAATCATCCCCCATGCTTGCGCAGTATTGCTGTTTGGGGATCATCTTGACTACAAAGAGGATAAAATTTGGGGGGAGCCTTCCAAGGTCTTGCATCCACCACTTCATTCCATACTCACCGTGGCCTCCTGTGGTGACTTCTCTATGAGAGATTTCAGAGCGGTCACGAAGGACCTGGTTCCAGGTTTGGGAAGCTTACGAAATGTTTTTCTGTTAAAAATTTGTTTTTTAAGCCACGTGTATTGGTGTATGTCTGTCATCTCTCAAATACTTGGGAGACTGAGGCAGGAAGCTCATGAGTTTGAAGCCAGCCTGGGCGACTTAGTGAGACCATGCCTCCAAATGTGAAAATGGAAAGAGCTGGATACAGGGCTCAGAGACAGAGCCCTCGCCCAGCCTGCGCAAAGCCCTGGGTTCTGTGCCCAGTATTGGAAAAAAAAAAAATTGGTTTTGGATGGGAAATACCTGCTCATTTTGTAAAATTAAAAGGAGAAAGTAACTGCTATGGAAATTAAGGCTCCTTCTGCAGCTGAGTCCTGGTCTCTGCCGAGGCATTCCTTGCTCTGGGCTTCCTAGCTTTCCTCAGCTGAGCAAAGGCCTCTGTGAGTTTCCCTGTGTCCACCAGCAGAGCCCCACCCTACACCAGGTGTGTAACTTCTCCAGTGCCCCACACCGTCCTGTCCTACGGGGTTTGCAGTTGGGTGTTTTGTCACCCACGAGTGCACGGTGGCATCTTGGATCTGCTAGTGCGGACAGCACCGTGGGCAGCCTTGTGACTGGCTGTGCCGGTCCACGTGAAGCTCTGACCGAGGGTTGCAGGCTGTCCTGACCCCTTAGGGGTTGACTCCACTTCTGCCGCCCTGGCTGGAGAGGAGCATGGGAGTTATGGAGGTTTGCTGTGCTTTGCACTCGGCACACTCCAGAATGCTTTTCTTTTGTAGGGCTGGGGTCCAGCTCAGGCCCCTGGCCTCGGGGAGGTCAGGCAGGAGCTCTACCGCTGGGCCACACCCTCAGCCCCCAACGCCAGCGCTGTGTTGGATTTTGCTCACAAAGGCTATGTTTTGGGGTGAAGGGAGCTCCCCGTCTTCGGGCCCACAGCGTTCAGAGGACCCGCTGCACGTACCTCGGCCTATAGCTGGGAACTGGCACCCGGCCCTCAGGGCTCGGTGGAGAGGGCTCACTTCCAAGTGTGGGGCTTCAGGTCTACCTGAGGGGCTCCCTGGGGTCACCCTCACACTTCTCCTTCCACCTCTGTGCAGCGTTTGCCCAAGACTGTTGGGTCCGAGGGGATGCCTGTGACCCCCAGCTCCTCTTTCCCACGCTGAACTTTCTTCCTGGCTGCCAGCCGTATGCACTGCTCTTCCCCTGAGAGCAGCTGTTCTGCTCCCGTGTGGGGAGGCACTGGATGGAGGCTTCAAGATAAGCAGTTCGAAGGACCCCAAACACCGGGTGGCTCAGAACGATAGGACTCCTGCTGTCAGAGTTCTACAGACAAGAGGTCCTGACGTAGGTGTCAGTGGGACCCTGCTCCCTTGGAAACTTATAGGGTCCAGCTTCTGGTGGTGGCTGTGGGTTCTTGGTGCTCCTGGCTTAGACAAGGAGCAGTGTGGCCTCGGTGTCCATCGTCACATGGATCTGTTTCACCTGGGCTGTCCTGTGTGTCTCCTTCTCCTGCAGGGTTAGGCATCCACATGGCTCCACTGTGACCCCATTTAATTACCTCTGCTGAGACCTAATAGGGCTACTCTGATGGGGGCCAGGGTTAGGACTTGAATACAATTAGGGGGCACAATTGAACCCATAACTGAGTGGAGAAGATGGGAAATAAACACGCAAACAAGTGGACAGGCTCATCCTGGGGACCAGAAAGGGAACAGGGTTTGTTGCACTGGTGGTCTTTGGTAGCCTTGAAGAGTTGGGGACATTTGAATGACCTGAAGGCTCTGGCAATAGAGGGCAGAGGGAAGAGTGTTTCCGGAGAACTGTGGGGGTCACGGTACTAAAATTGTGTGTAGGAAGGAGGGAGGGTCTCACCCGGATTCCCTGCCTGGCTGCCAACAGCTCCCTCCTACTGTCCCCCCCGACTTCTTGGGCGCTCCGTCCTGTCGCAGTCTAAAGTGGCTGCCCCCTTGGCCCTCCCCAGCATCCTTGGGGTGCATCCTGGGCCCTCTGGAGGGAAGAGGACCCGAGTTGCCATGGTGACAGCACAGTATGGGTGGCTGCCTGCTGAGGTCTCCAGCCTTGCCTTGCGGGAGATCAAGTTCAGCAGCGAGCCTGTGAGCGACTGCCAGGGGCCTGCACTGGGACGCTCCAGGGGGAGGGAAGCCCACGCCAGGCCCTGCCTTTGGGGAGCTCCCACCTGAGCCGAGGAGGTGATGCTCAGCCTCCCAGGGCCTGGCAGGTGGGCAGAGCTGAGCAGAGAGGGAGGGAGTGGAGTTGAGAGGTGGTGGACAGGGACGGGCCGCTTTCTCTGGCTTTCTACAGTCCCCCCGCCCCCCGTGCCTGAGACAAGAAAATAATGCTCCTCGCCTTTAGACGTTGAGAGATTAACAAAAATTTTTTAAGAAGTGATTTGTCCTTTTGTGGACAGGTTATTTTGCTTGTGAATCTAGAATCTAGAATCTGCAGGTGGGGTAGCCCAGCTACTGAGAGTGTGCATTGAAATGTTGCCGCTAGTGGGGACTCAGTAAAGGCTGCCGTAGCTGCTGCTTCGTCTCCTCCTCCCCCTCGTCCTCACTGCAGGAAATAGTGAGTTCTTCTTAGGAGTGGTGAGCTCCAGGCTTCTCCTTGTGCTTTGTGTGAGACCCCTTAGTCTTGCAGTCCCCTCATTGGCACGGGGACAAAGGCCTGAGCGCAGCCTCACGGGCCCCAGCCCCGGCACATCTTCTTCCAGCAGGCTGAGCCTTCCAGGGGCTGCAGGTGCCGGCCCCACCCTGTCACTCCCCTGGCCGCCTGGCCACCCTGTCCTGGTGCTGAGGGACCTGTGGTCCCGCTGCCACATCGGCCCAGCTGTTTGGTGCTGGGACATCTGGCTCCCTGGCAAGCTCTGCATGAGCTCTGGGAAAGCCGTGGGGGTGCCGAGGAGGATTAGCCAGCTTTGGGGCAGCCTCAGCGTCTCTCCCCTGATGGGAGTTGCTTTCCGCCAAGTCTTCTTGATCTCTCGGAATCCAGATTACATTCCTTCTTGTTGGAGGGTTTCCACAGCCTTTGGGCCCTGACTGACGCCCGGCCCGGACAGCTGGAAAGACTTGGAGAAGTCACCCCGCGGCTGCAGGGCCTGCGGGTGCTCCTGTGGTGGTCCTGATGCTGCAGGGCCGGGGGCCATGGGGTCGGCAAGGGTATCTTCACTTCCTGGGGCCGAGGCTCGGCCTGCCGGGCCAGGCTTCCGGGAGGCAGGGTCGCCCCAGCTAACCTGTTCACGTTTATGGACTGGGACTGGGCACTCCATCCCATGTTCCCCCTGTGCCTTCTTGGGGATGCAGCTGCACACTTGGCGAGCGGGCCTTGGAGAAGCCCTGGAGGCCCGAGGCCAGCCCCCTAATCACCACCAAGGTGCAGATGATGTGGGCAGCTGGATGAGAAACATCCCTTGCTCCATCTCAGGGACTTTGGCTGCCAGGAGAGTGACTTCAGAGTGGTCACCAGTGCCAAAATCCAGATCAGCTGCAGCCTGAGTCACTCCGAGGGGAGGGGCTGCTCCCTGCCTGTGCCCCTAAGGAGCAGAGGTCATGGGAGTGGGTGAGGCGTGGCTCACAGCCCCTCAGCCCAGGCACACACTCCTCCTGCCCCTGGGTCCTGCCTGGGAGGGCACTCTGCGGCTGCAGCCCCACCTGGGGCCTCCCTCTCACTCTCGCTCCTTGCCTGCCGGCTCCTGCCCTCCAGGAACGGTGCGCAGCCTGGCCCTTGCCTCCTAGGGAGCCTCCTGTCCTCCCTTGGCCCCGCTTCTGCCTCCTGAGTCTGGGATTCGGGCTGTGCAGGTGCTGGGCTTCTGTCTTCCTGCCCAGCTCTCTGGAGTGCTTGCTGACAGCCTCGACGCCACTCAGGAGGAGGCCTCCTGGCCCAGTGCAAGGGGAAATTGTGGTCCCCAGGGAGACAGGTCATGGAACCCTCACCCCACGCAGGCTCAGGACTTGGTGACAAGACTCTGGGCAGGTTTGCATCTGCCTTAAGTCACCATGTGCGTGTTTGGGCGAGGGAACGTGGTCACCCTCTG